CTCGCGGAGCGGCAATGCCCTCTTCGCCCATCCTTTTTAGAAACCCAAGATCAGCCCCTGTCTTATAGAACTCAGAGGGGACCGAATCCCCGTGTTCTAGCGAGAATCCCCGTGTCCTAGCACAGAGGGGACCGAATCCCCGTGTCCCAGCATTTTGTCCATCTTGGCTGAAACATTTGCCTGTGCCCCCACTTCTCGCCTACAGTCCTGCACCTTCGCCACTTCCGCAGTCAACCTATTAACTTCCTCCCTCCTCTTCTTCTTCTCTCTCTTCATCCTCAACTTCCATTCCGATTTCTTCTCCTCTTCTCTTTCCCTTCGTTCCAAGGGGTCCTCCATCGCTGCTAGTTCGCTGGCCAACGCATCCCTCTCATCCTTTGGGACGTAGAACTCTGCCTCCTCATCTTCCCCCAACGATAAATTGGCGATCCACTCACTTGTTTTTTTCTCCATCTCTGCTTCTTCTTTCATTGTGCCACTGCTCTCTACTTCTTTCCCCTTTCGTTTCCTCTCCTCCTCTACTTCCGCTGCCGCTTCTTCTTCGGCAGCCTTCTTCTTCTTCTCCATCTCCTCCTCTAACTCCATCTTTGCCGCCTGCTCCTCTGCGATAGCCTTCAGCTTCGCTTGCTTCAGGAGCTCCTTCCTCTCTCTGTTTTCCTTCACTATGGCGGCCATCTTCTCTTGCTGCTCCTGAGTGTAGGGGCTAGTGCTTGTCCCACTACGGGTCTCAACCATGGTGTTGGGTGTACAACCGGATTAGTGGTTCCAAACCTCACCACGTTGACTCTAACCCCTAACTGACAGACCTACTGACTCAAGCTAATGGCTCACAGACTCCTGACAGGGATCCTGCCAACTATGGTCTCTAGCCTAGACCTAACTATGGCTGTCACTACTGAACTAGTGGCTGATCTGGAGGCATTTAAGGAGATCCCCCATAACTCCGCAAGAATTTTTTAACGTCGCAAACAGGACGGCGTGATCAGCTTGGTTCTACCTGTGCTTTTCAGCCGACAACTCAGCCTTTCCGGCCTACTGTGCCACACCGAGCAGCCCGCCGGTCTGTACCGGTCCTTGGGAGGGTTCGTATCCCCCGGGACAGTCGAGTCGTCAGACACAAATCCTCAGCCTTACTTGGTCCGGTAGGGGAGTGGTTCAAACAGGCCCTCAACACTTAAAGACTGCTTGGTGTGTCAGCCCTAACTGCCGTTCAAGCCCACCATGTCATACCAACCGTGTCCAGCCGGTCAGCACCGGTCCTTGGGAGGGTTCTGCCCCCCTGGACAGTTGGATCTGCCACAGTCTTAGCTCTACAAGGTCAGACTAGGGTTTCGTCATCCAAGCCCTATCCTTCATCAACAGAGTACTATCACCTAGGACAGAAGGGACTCGATGCATAAAGAATAGACAAACGGACTCAGACTCAGCAAGTACCGGGGGATGTGTGCACATCCACAGGGCAAGGGATAGGCTGAGGGCTTGGCGAGATGTTACCAACTCCAGCTTGGTCAAAGTCTTGGTCAATGGTCTTGGTCAACGCCGGTCAACGCTGCTATGACCCTCCGGTCAACCCTGGTAATCGCCGGTCAACACCTCCGGTCAACCCTCTTGGTCAACCCTCCGGTCAGCTATGGCTGCCAACACTTCTTCCTTGCCAACCCTCTCCTTCTTCTTCACCTCCCCCGCCTCCTTTCATCCCGCTGTCTTCTTCTTCTCTTTCGGCTTTTTTTTTTTTTTTTTTTTTTTTTTTGGTCGGCCTTCTCTTCACCTCTTAGCTATGGCCGCTTCTCTCCCTTCTCGGTCTCTCCCAGTCTGTCCTTCTCTCCCCCTACTCGCCACTCCGTGGTGCAAGCTCCGCGGCTATGGCCGCTGTCTTCTCCTTCGTGGACTGCGCAACTCGCTTCACAGGTAAGTGACAACCAAACTTGTATCGCTCATCTCTCTCTCTCTCTCTCTCTCTCTCTCTCTCTCTCTCTCTCTCTCTCTCTCTCTCTCCTCGCCGTAGCGGTATCTTCAGTGCAGCAGGTACGTAGTAACCCAATCTTGTATCGCTCA